GTGTGTGTGTGTGTTTCTGTGTGTGTGTATGTCTGGGTGTGTTTTGCTTTTAGAAAGAGACAGACAAACAGAGAAAAACGTTGTTTTTAAATACACACAGACAACTCTACATGCATGCTGATAGACAGACGGACACGTCTATACTGGTACTTTTGACTGACAGCCAGCCATGAAGACAGAAACTCTGCCTGAAAAAGAGAACGGCTTGACACAATGGAACAACAAAAAAAAGTTAAATTTGAGTACTGTCAAGAAATCAAATCCCCCTTACCTGTAATCAAACTAGTGGCCTCCATTACCGCTCCCCGCTTCCCAGTCCGCTAAAACTTACTCCCCTCCAGCCATATTCGTTTCAAGTGCTGAATGAAAAACGAACTCATAAAACGTCAATCCGCACTGGGTGTGGGTGAAGAAATATCCTTGTTTGCATACAGAATTTTATGGTCTTGATTCCGTGTTCCTCAAAGCCCTGGCGTATTATCTGCTCGGAGTTGTCGTCAACTGGTCCAAAAATTCAGTTCCGTTATATCCAAGCGGGGTTTGCACATTTGGTGCCACTACTGCTCCTTACAAATGAAAGCATTTCTCACGGGCTGCTTTCCCTTTTCTGCACCATTCGAACGATTTTGTCGAGATAAAAGACGGGAAGAGTACACATAACCCACCTCCTTCTCTCGCAGGCATTCAAGCACAAAAAGAATATCTCTCTTAAATGCGTAGGGGGGTGAAATGGCTGTCTCTAATACAAAGGTGTTTTTACTTAGCTCCTATTGCACAGTCACACGGGTTTGAAAGGAAAGTAAAAGCTCTAAGCGAGCGCATTGTGACTGGCATTGTGAACAGAAAGAATTCGATCAGGCCGTGTCTACGCTCACTGCGTTCAGTAAGATTCTATAGCTGTGTGTGCTGAATATTCTTCCCAATTTCCGTGGTCAGACAATAGGGGCCTTTGAGAAGTGCTGTGTCGGTAGGCTGGAGATTTTCAATCATTTTCTTTATCGGGTCCCGCCACGGTGCCTAAACCTTCAACCGTTGTCGATCGCTCGGGGAGATCGGTAAATATAACCTGTTTGGCAGATCTCATCTGTTTGCCTTCTGATTACAAACTGTCGCACGCGTTTATGAAGGAAGACAGAACAGGCGAGAGTTTTGTTTCTATCTCTTTCTCTTTCTTTCCTCGCTCTTTGTCTCTATTTTTCTTTCTGTCTCCCTTTCCTCCTCTTTTCTTTTTACTTCTTTCTGTCCCTCTCTCCTCCTCCCCCCTCTCTCTCTCTCTCTCTCTCTCTCTCTCTCTCTCTCTCTCTCTCTCTCTCTCTCTCTCTCTCTCTTTTTTCTCTCTCTCTCCCTCTCCCTCTCTGTCTGTCTCTCTTCATTTGTCTCTCTTTTCCTATTTTTTCCGTTCTCTCTCAATCCTTTCTCTCTGTCCCTTTTTATTAATTACTGTCTTCCTTTCTTCTTCTCTGTCTCTATAATCTCTTTCACTCTCTCCCCCTCTCCCCGTCTGTCTGTCTCTCTGGCTCTCTCTCTTCCTCCCTCCCCCCCTCTCTCTCTCTCTTTCTCTCTCTCTCTCTCTCTCTCTCTCTCTCTCTCTCTCTCTCTCTCTCTCTCTCTCTCTCTCTCAAAACATATCTCTTTGCGCCTTTATCTCTGCCTTTTTGTATATTTTTCTTCCTTCTTCTCTCTCTCACTCTATTTGTGTGTGTGCCTGTATTTGTTTGAGTGAGTGAGAAAGGGAGAGAGAGAGAGAGAGAGAGAGAGAGAGAGAAAGAGAGAGAGAGAGAAAGTGTTAGTGTAAATGTATGTATTTGTGTGTGCGTGTGTATGTATGTATGTTTGCGTGTTTGTCTATTTTTGTTTGTTTGTGGTTATTTTTTTATATGAGTGTAAAAATGTGAGCATGTTGCAGAATATGTGTTGTCTCACCAATATGTTTTCTAAACAGCTAGGAATGATTACATAACTTTACTACCGCATTCACCGCAACTTATTAGTCCATCATAATACATGGGTGTTTGGCAAGTGCTCTAGTGTGGTTTGCTCCATCGTTCCTATCAAACATTTATTTTCATTAACTCTCCTCCTGTTTAAATTACTTTTTATATTTAGTAACACCTTTAATCGTCGATACTTGTATTACATATTATTTATGTTGCACGTGTCGTAAAACGCACTACAATTAATTAAACATAATTACACTGCATAGGGGCTACCCCGTTAGTCCAGTTGGTATTATGATGGACTTTGGACTACTAGGCGATCTTGAACTTGGGTCTTTCTGTAAAGTTTTCAAGGCTGTCAACCCATATTTTGGCTCAACCCTAACAAAGATGAGTGTTAAAGTAGGACGTCCCGCCCCATAAATAACCTAATAATCGTAATAAGGGCGTTAAATCCATACACTTACACTAACACTTACACAGTATAGGCAACGGGATAAAATCATGAAAATGCGGGCTAATAATATTCCCACCTTATACGTAACAACAACCACGCTGCATTTACTTAGGTCAATAACTTGGTAAAGACACAGCTTTCGATTTCGCAATTTGCTACCTTAGTTCCTTCGGTCCCTTTTCACATACCACTGTCTTTCGTACACGACGAAAGGCACTGTACTTTGACACACCAATATTGGTACACCTGACGCACACAATCTGGGAGTATACATTAAATAGAGAAAGACGATCGGCTACCTCTGTATTACTTACTATAGATTATAAGGTGTTGTGGTAGGCTTGGGAGGGTAGTACTAGTGAAGTATTATGCGTGTGTCCCCGTTTATGCGCACGTGTGTCTGTGGGCGTATGGGTGTGTGTGTGTGTGTGTGTGTGTGTGTGTGTGTGTGCGTGTGTGTGTGAGTGTGTGTGCGTGTGTATGTGTGTTTGTGTGTGTGTCCATTGGTACGTGTTTGTGAAAACATAATATGTGTGTTTGTCAGTGTTGGTATGTGTGTGGGCACGATTGCGTACACACGTGTGTACCTGAGAGTATGTATGTGTATAATAATGGCTTTATCTCTCT